TGACCTCTCAGGTAATCCCTGATTATTAGTGGTACACAAAATAAATAGTATTCTTACTGTCTGGGAACAGTGCCTGCGTAATGGATGGCAACAACAGGATGCAATGCATCTTCTTAACAGGGGATAAGGATATTTCACCGAAGCCAGTGAAAGCTTGACATTGAAAACAACTCTTGGGGAACTGTCAAGATGACAATAGAAAAAGTGTTAACGATTCATCAATGTGCCATTAGCCCTGAAACTTAGGCCTGACAATGTGCAAAGTCTATAGATCATTTTTATGCTCTACAATAGAAAAAAGTTAGTGGAAATGGAAGCGTGTGACCTCCAGGCTACATTAAACCAGCATTAAGAAAAAGGCCATTATCTAAAAGGTACAAAATGGTATTAATTCTGTCTACTCAGGGTATGACTGTGAGCATTTCTGACTTGTTTACTTCTTCTCACCTGGTTATCAATGCAGAAACTCTCTGCAGAAGCTTGGTAGCTCAAGCACAGCGCTAAGGAAGAGAATGAATTCCCCAGTCTGAACATTACCATTTTTAAAGCAAATACTGGGGGCTTCCGTACTCCAAATGCCCCTTTCCAGGGTGGTTGTGGCCACCTTTGAATTCAGGTTTCCCCTTATTAGAAAACTACTTTATCTCTTCTATATGTTGTATGAGAAATAAGTTTAAGCAATTGCAACACACACATACAAATGGAAATCAGCTTTTTTTTCTCCTTAAAAGCACAGTTCTTTAAAAAGGAAACTTTCAGGAAGGAAACTTGGTTATTTCAGTTCAAAAGATGCTTTTACTCATCATGCAAATACCATGTGTGTTTACCTGTGTTTCGACTGCATGCTCCAATTTTTGTATGGACTCTGATATCAGCTACTGTGAAAGTAAAGCTCTGTGATGGGCTTTTTTAACATCAGAAAGAAACTACCATCATTAAAGCATCCCAGCGTGTCGTCTTCATTTTGCATCTGAAGACCAAACTGTTTCGGGAGATTACATTTTACCTGCAGATATTTGTAATAGAACATCTGAATGCTTCTCTGGTTGATGTGTTGACTGTAGCAAAACTCATATAGTGCTTAATGTGTTCCTGCTCATTGCAGAGCCAGTGCCAGCAGCCCGGGAGCCTCTTGAAATGAGAGATTTCATTTCTGGACTCAGAACTGGTTCAGGCAGAGTCTGCCCTGACAATAACCATGGTTTTGCATTGCATGCAGAGAAATGGGAAAGGACATCTGCTCATGGGGGAACTGTTCCCCAGGCCCATTCGATTTTCTTCCTCTTAATGTCTGTGTTCACCAACACTCTCAATTTGTTTTGTTTTAATTTCAGCTGGCTGTATTACTCCATTGCCCATTGATGCCTAAACACCTCTTTTTATTGATTTAAGACAGTAAAGCTGTCAGAATAATGCAGTAATAATATGATGAAACAACAATAGGTCTTTGCTTGGCTTGGCTGCGGAACAGCCTCATCTTGGAGCACGCAGCGAGTCCTCGACTGGGATGCCCACCGTGGTGCTAGAGCTTGGCACAGAAAAGCATGTTCACACAGCTGACAACACGGTCTGATGTTCAGAGCAACGAGAAAACTTCAACTAACATCAATAGCAGCTGTGAGTGTCCACCCCCTAAGCAGACAGAAGGCATCTGATGGGAAACAAATAGGACAGGAAATAGGAAAGAAAATATCTAGGGCTGCTCTCAGATGTGCTGTGTAAAACTAGGAAAACTTCACAGAATTCATCTTGTGTAAAGCCATCACCAGCATAGAAATTCACAGTGCTTTTCCTCATTTTAATGTGGTTTCCATCACGGGGTATTCCAAACCCAATCTGTTTAGGTTTTTTAATTTCTAATTTTAAGGTGGAATGTTTTCATCACTGTTTCTTACCCCAGTTCAATCCAATGATTATAATACTTTTGGTTGAAAGGGGAATAGGTTTGAGGCAATAGGAGTTGTTATAACCCAGAACGACGTTAACCCCTGGTAGACCACCATGTAGGCAGCTGGGGAAACCTATGTGAGAAACAGGGTTTTGAATCAGCTATGAGAGGTTTTGGGCATCTCTGTCCCAGGCAGGGGAGGAGATGGCAGCATGAATGGGGATGGAAGAGCCAAGGGAGGGCATTCTGGGGTCATCTCCTGCCTGGCTGGTACCTCTGTGGGATAAACTCAGGTGGTGCTCAATCCCCTTTTCTTGCAACACTAAAAAGGGGTGCAAAATCCCATCTTTCCATTGAACAGAAATGTGCACAGAGTTGGCACTACAACAATTATGGAACTGGAAATAATCATATCACTATATACCATTATTATTACTTTATTTTTTTTCCTTGTCTTCCTTTTTTTTACTGGAATTATGTGCTCTCTGGCAGCTGAGGAGGGTTTGCACCAGAAGAAAGTATTTGTTTTTACAGCCACCATGGGGCACCAACACTTTAAGTTCCTGCACTAAAGAGCACTGAAGGACCAATGACCAGCATTGATGCGATTCATGTGCCTTTGGTTCACATAACTGCTGCTTAAACCACAATGTTTATAGCTGTTTAGCCACACACATATATATCAAATGCTGAGGATAAAGGCACTAATTTATGACTAAAGGCTCCAGATAAGAATCATGGCTTTATTGTGTTAAATTATGGTGTTTGGGTTTCTTTTTTTCCCAGGGAAGGAAAGATAAACTGGGAGAAATGAAGATGGAAAGATGGTGTGACATGTTTTGGCTTGATGAGGGCTCCTACTTCCCTCCCTGGGGTTTTTCTTGCGTGTCTCTGCTGGGGCCACGCTCACCCTATGATTTGGATCATAGAGAAAGGGAAGGGGATCCCTGAAAATGGCTAAATAAACCCTCCCCCCCAACTCGAAATGGAAAAATGAAGATCAGTCTGGCCAAGGAAATATTTAAGTGACTTTTTATTGACACGTGTCAAATAAAACCCAGGTCCCTGGACTCTCTGATTTACCTATGAGTGATGCACAGCAGGCTTTCTGTTGGTGGCCCCTTCCAACAATAGGTAACAAGTGAATTATCCATCATTTATTATTGATATATAACAAATATATTTTTTTAAAGGTTGGAGAGGGGCTTTGGACACAGGCCTGTAGGGACAGGGGGGTTGGAGCTGGATGAGCTTTGAGGTCCTTTCCAACCTTAAACCAGTCTGGGATTCTGTGATTCTATGAAATATGAGTTATAGATGCAACGCAGTGTTTTGCCCTACACCTTCAATAAGCATAGGCAGGATATGTCTTTGTGATTTTACTTAGTGATACAGAAAACAGGTTAGAAAAGTGGTTTTATTACTTCCTAGCTGCAATAATTGTGTTAAAAGTTTGTAGTAGGATTGGGTATATAAAATTAACTGCCTTATTTATTGGAAAAGAAAAAAATTATATTAGGGTAAGTATAGTTCATTGGGTACTTTAAAATTACATGAGATCTACAATAGACCATGGCTTAGTTTACAGAGTTATTTGAAGATAATTTCATGTTTTACTAACATTTAAAGTAACTGTGATTAAATGTATTTAGCAAGACGTGGAAAAGAAATAACATTGGGGCTTTGGTGATGCTGCTGCACAGGTGATCAAGTCTGGGAACCTTGAAACAAGCAGGAGGTAGGGTGGAAATGGTGGTTTGTGCCTCATGAGTCGAGGTGCATTTTTGTTATTTCTTAGCTACAGGTCTCGGCTCGTTTCTCTATCCAAACATTTAATTGTTATGCAAGAAATCAGCCCTTCTCAAGTGTCTTCACTGAATAAAACAAAAGCAAAATGTTGATGTTCTCTTCTTACAGGATTAATATATTTGTTTCACAAGCATTATCTTAATCCAGTCACTGTCCTTTAACAAGGAAAGATGAGAGCAACGACTCTATCAATGGGTTTTAACTGAGTTATGTATGAGCTGTTTGGAGTCCTGAGCCCCTAAGAATAATAACTCACCCAGATGAATTACCATGAAACCTCCCTTGATATCCCCTAAATCATGACATTCTTTTGTCAACAACATCCCTGAATAATTTGTGTTGACTTTAGCAAAAGTTCGTTAGAATTACAGATTGTTAATTCCCAAGTTAAACGGTTGCTCTCTTTTGCAGGGACCTTTTACTGAGTACTTTGTGCCACAAAAACTGGTCCGAAGAAATGAAGATGAAGGTTATACCATGAGATGCATCATGTGGGAAGCTCCCCGATTCCCACCCTCCTTGGCCTGACCTTGGTGGGTGACACCTTGAACCTTCCAGCAGCAAAAACTGTGGAGCTGCGTTTTCTCCTGAAGCTTTAACTGCTGGGGGTTACAAATACAGTGGAATTCAGCTGCACTGTGCAGACGTGATGCACAGCGAAGCATCACAGCAGCACAGGAGCTGGGCTGCATTAAACTGTCCAACGGGGCTCGTTTTGCTGCGACTCCACACATTGCTCAGAGCAGAAGCAGATGGGTTTTCTCCCCTTTTTTCTTCAGAGAGACTTTATCAGAGCAGCACACAGAGGAACAGCAGATCTTTTATGCATGGGGAAAACAGTACAATGTGATCTTAATAAAACAGTCGAAGCTCCTAAAGGATCTTTGTGCTGGGAACCAAGCTGGCAGTACGTAATTGAAGCATTAATGACAATTTACACCCTGTAGAGGATTACACCCTCATGGAGCCATTTACCTTGAGAAAAATGACAAATTTTCCAAGGACTGCTGGTTCCTTGAGAGAAGATTTGAAGCGGAGGCTGCACTTGGCTGCAGCCTTTCCGCTATCAATTTCAGCTCATACACAGGCATTTGCTCTGATTATTATTATACCCCTGCCCTTTGTTGCCCTTGAAGTATTGGCATTGTGGCTCTGAAGACAGATTCAATTAACACACTGGCGAGATGCTGACCTTTCCGAGATTGTTATTCTAGCCTTGATTTGCTTTAGGGGAGAAATATTTCTTTCTTGTATAAATATGAAATAAGAAATAAATAACAAACAATTGATTTGTAGTTTGACAGCAAAGGAAGAAGGCAAAAGGAAAGCAAGAGAGAGAAAGAAAGGAAGAAGTGACCTGATCAAGCGCAGACACTGGCTTGACTTTGCTTTGGGATCACTCACCGCTCAAGTTGCCATCTGTCACAATTAAAGAGTAGTTGGAGGATCTCTGGAGTAGTTTTTCCATGGAATCAGGTAACTTAGCTCACTCTTTTTCACATTTTTACTAACTTTGTGATTGATTTTCTGCAGACCAGGGAGGAAATTTCCTTTTTGTTCCCTTTTCACACATTGCAGACCGCTGCCTCACACCATCACGTGGAATTGCCAGGCTGGTGATGAAGGATAGATGGGCTGAGAGCTCCCCCAGGCAGGGCCAGGACCCGGATACTGGGTAACAAATGCATCTAGGCAACAACTGTCTTCATTTATATTCATGCTGCAAAGCAAGTTTTATACTTCAAAACAGCTTCCTTCCCTTCTCCTCACCCCTCCCCACGCACATTCATGGGAAAAGCTCAAGTACTGCTTTGTTTTTCTTCA